CTTGCTACGATTAAACCCTAGATTAGTCATAATAAGAGAAATCTCTTCCCATACTACATCATGTTTATAAGATTTTGAAAATTTCGATTGAATATTATTATCTGACCAAACATCCAGCAAAGTACACGTCTCTTCCATTGAGAAATGTTTACTTTTTCGCGGTTTCGTTGACATCACAGTACATTCACACACTTTGTCCAGAAGATACAGCAAAACCTCCAATTAATCCAATATCAATGAAAGTTTTCTCAACAAATCAACCACTGTATAGAAACTGAAAAACCAGGATTGTTTAGCAATACTTCAATACATATCAAATAAATGTTTAGACTTCTTCTTCCTATCAATTGTTGATCCTGATTCAGTCAGAGAGAACATAGTGAGCAGTCACACATACTTGTTACGATGAAAGTACTCTGCGGATAGAGAAGCAAGGAGAAAACTTGAAGAATTAAAATGAAGTTTTATTAGCCTTTGCCCAAATGCCATGCTGGGTTGTTGTGTATGACATATGGAAGTTAAGTTATCAAACTTTTGTATTTCAATTACACGGCTACGGATTACCAACATAAGAGTTATGCTTTTTTCGTGTTCTACCGTATCTGTAATCTGTGCTGCAAGAAACAAATATGGCAGACGATGCTGGGAATTGCATGCTAATAGAAGATAATATGACAGATATGTATAATGACATTAAAAGCAAACTGCCTAAGGTAAGTAACCGGTCATTTTTTGTGTAACCATATTGGAACAATTTTCATTCTTTGTTGCTGCAGACGTGCGTGACGTTTTAAATGTCTTGATTTTTGAGCTGCCATGAACATTTTCCACAAAGGTTACTTACATTTAACGTTAAATATTTCATTTTGATGGTTCATACAGAAGTGATACGTTTTATCTTTTGTATGCTTCCTAATAGACTATTTGTTTTAAATAAATATAAGGTAAATTATTTAGATGGAGAATTTCAGGAGCCATGCCTGTTTGCTCCAGTTGGGATATCTTGGTTAGGTTAAGATGGATTACATTATTTTGGTGCCTGGGCAGCCCATTGAGAAGTTACTTGTGCCTGCCCAGTTTTTTCTTTGGTGGTTTAGGTTTCATCTGTTTTGATTTGATAAGAGAGAGGTGGATATAAGAAGGAACTTGTGAAACAAATTAGTGTGACACAACATAGTAGGATTTGAGGTATTCATGGCAGTGAGTCCGAAGACTACACAGTGCAACAGCCCAGAAGACAGCCTGATATATCATACTTTGAGATAGAAAACACTTAAAGAACATATCCAAAGAATAAACTATACCGCAGTAGACGTAATCTCACACATAATTACATTATTAGTATTTATTTAGCAGTTGTACAATATCTTTAGGAATATATATATATATATTCCGTGTTTATATGTTATTAGCAAATTAATATACCAGGTAAATTACTATACACATAAGTTCTCCATATTTTGTTCACAGAGATTTTCTGAGTTGTGTAGAATCAAGTTGAATTCTAGTCAGTTCAGGTTTAGTTACTTATGCTAGATAGGAGATGTTACATCCACCTGGACATTACAGCCTCTGTCTGCCTGTTAGTTTACCTGTACCTTCCTTTCAAGTCTTTGTTAGACTGCAGTATAAATAAAATATACAATATTTAGGTTATATGATAGGTAAATAGAATCTAAGATTCTACTGCAGTATAAATAAAGTATACAATATTTAGGTTATATAATAGGCAAATAGAAGTCCCGCGCGGTCTGAGGCATCATGCTTCAGACTGGCGATACAGAATGCGCGCTGGTTCAAGTCTCGGGGGAGAAGAAATTTTCTCATGAGCTTTCGACCAGTGTATGCGACCGGTGCCAACCCAGCATCGTGAGGAAATTTGGGAGCTACAGTGGGTAGCGTAATTCGGTCAGGAAAACTAGCAATGACTGGGGGTTTGTCGTGCTGACCACACGTCACTCTGTATCTGGTTGGATGATCGTTCACCTCTGCTTAGGCATGTGAATGTGAGACCAGCAGTCAAGCTAGTCAGCTTTGGCTCTCTGGAGCTGTTATGCCACAGATTTTTTAAACAGGCAAATAGAACCTAAGATCCACAGGAATCTTTATATTTCATTATTCTCTTTTTTATTCAGCCTTCTTATCTGCTGGTTAGGGCATAAGCAGCAAGATGCTACTGGTCACCTTTCCCATCTGATTTATTAGTTTCTTTATTTGTTAATGTAATTAAACTATGAGTATTATTACCAGTGTGGATGTTTTTTTTTTCCAGATCTTGTGCCTTCATGGATATCGTCAGAATGGAGATGTTTTCAAGCATAAACTTGGGGCATTGAGGAAAGCTTTGAAGAAACATGCAAAACTTTTTTTTGTGACAGCTCCTAATAAACTTCCATCAGCTGAAGACTCCTCACTCTGCAGTGAGGATGTCCAAAAAAGTGGTATGATATAAATTACTTCAGTAAATACTAAATACTTGACAACTTATCTTTTATCATAGGATTGTAGGGGGTTTAAATATCTATAGTACAGGGCTGCTGGCTAGACAACTCAGGGTTAATGACTAGCAATATGCAAACAGTGACACTTGGATGATATTGGTTAAACATGTACTTCTGTGAATTATTGATTTTGTAAATGGTTATGAGTTACCTGTCATAGCTTTTGGAACAGTGAGCTGATCTGGATGCTTAGTGAATAGAATGATTAAGTGTTAGTATTTATTACCAAATGGCCAACTCACT